AAGCTGTCACTGCTCCTGGCAGGTTTGGTTTGTCACACATGGTGCGGAGTGTCGTGTGGCTGAGACTTGATGTGCAAACTTGTGCCTTGTGTCTCAAGAAACATGAACACCAAACGAACAACAGACCAAACATGACGCTAACAAGTAACAGGTGCCTGACTAGTAGTAACAAGGACACTACTAGTAACAAGTGCCACGCTTCAGGAAACTGAACTTCTGGATTCTTGAGTTCAGCTTCTAGGGGCTCCTGGCCTTACTAGGAGCAAGGACGCTACTAGTAGCTCCTGGCATTACTGCTAGAAACAAGAAGCTACTAGTAACGAGAAGCTACTAGGGGCTCCTGGCCTTACTAGGAGTTCAGCTTCTTTCTACTCCCACCAAGCTTCTTATTGGAGTCACGATGCAAACTTGTTGTCAGGTGTATCTTGTGGCGTCGACTACCCTCATTCTAAAAAGCTGTCTCCATTCATGCGGTCATGCCACGTTTTGAGGGACGAAGTTGGCATTGGCAGCATTTTGGACAGTGTGTTTGGCAAGAAACAGCAAGTGCAACTTCATTACAATGCAGAAGGGCCTCACCCATAGCTATTTGGTTGGAGGCTATCACTACCAGGTTGGAGGCCAGCTATTAGGTTGGAGGTCATCGCTTCTAGGTTGGAGGCCATCGCTTCTAGGTTGGAGGTCATCGCTTCTAGGTTGGAGGCAATCGCTATTAGGTTGGAGGCATTGGGACCCCATGTGGACTGACAGCCTCGCTTCTGTGAACCCTTTGAACGATCTAAGCATCAACAAGCGCTAGCTCAATCTTCCAAGATTAACGTGTGTTGATGAGCGGATGAGCGTTCCAAAATTCCTTGCTTGACGGTGACCGCTAAACGTCATTGTTTACATCGTAAGGACCATGAGCTACGCTTCATAGACTTTGAGAGATGATAAAGTCAACACACAGGTAATACGGTGTATTCGTTTGCTAGAAGCTACTAGGAACAAGTGCCACGCTACTAGTAACAAGTGCCTTACTAGTAGTAACAAGAAGCTACTAGTAGCAAGTGCATCGCTTCTAGTAACAAGATTAGTGTGCCTGGTGCCTTCTTCCACAGTCTTCCGAATGAGTCTCATCCCGCTCCTCGAGCTGGCTGTCGTGGGGTGCTGGGTGCTGTGGGTGCGGTTCCTCGCACCAAAGCGACTTGAAAAAATTGCTCAAGAGCGGGAGGCCATTGCTTTTAGGTTGGCAATCGCTCAAGCAATCATGTTTAATGTGTTCTTTTTAAGACACCAGTCAAGACAACTCAAGAGTAAAGGCCATCAATGCACAAGAACTCACAAGAAGGCTACCAAAGGCAACCAAAAAGCAGCAATGCTCCGACAAATCTACAAGAAATCCATTTCTTCTTTTTGGAGGGGTAGACGGGAGAAGCAAAGTAAGTAGCCTAAATCAAAGAGAGACAAAGCTCAGCAACGTATAAACTAAGCAAGAACAGTAGTAGTGCTACTAGCAAGTGGTCATAGTACTAGTCTCGCACTGGTATATATCTTTGTTTTGTCCGTCTTCTTGGCCTCTCTGTTTTTGTTTGGCCTTTTCAAAAAAAGGAAAGTATGAGTAGCGTTCTTGTTAGTAAGGCCAGGAGCGCCCCCTGGTAATTTGCTAGTAGAAATGCCAGCTACTACTAGCTTCTTGCTGGTAATTTCTTGCTACTAGGCTTCTAGTAGCTTCTTGCTCCGTTCGTAGCGATGCCGCGCCTAGTAGCGATGCCCTTTGCTCCTAGAAGCTTCCTTGCTCCTAATGCGTGCACTTGTTCCTAGTAGCTTTTTGTTACTAGTAAGGCACTTGTTACTAGTAGCGTGGCACTTGCTCCTAGAAGCTTCCTTGCTACTAGGCCCGTTCTGAGCGAGTGAGAAGCGTCCCTCGACGCGAGCCCGCCTGCACCCACCACGCGACGAGAGACAGGGACGGTGCTGGAGCGGTTGGACTTCTCCAGCCGAACAGCCTTGGTAGGGGAGCTAGGGAGCTTGTTCCTAATAGCTTCTTGTTACTACTAGTAAGGCACTTGTTACTAGTAGCGATGCACTTGTTACTAGTAGCTTCTAGGGAGCTAGGGAGCTAGGTAGGGAGTAGGTAGCACTACTCGGACGCTAGGGGGAAGAGGTACTACTAGCTACAAGGAACGAGACTACCGACAGGATGCAGGAGAGCTCGCGCGCGGTTCATTTGGTTCCCAGATTTTTAGAGAAAGACTCGATTTCTTCCAATATCGTCAACTCTCCCGTTGGCTCCTACATTGCCCAACTAAGCAATCTCGCCTGCGTAGCGGAGCAAGGGCGGGACACAGTCTCCGGACTGACCTCACTTGTCTTGAAACACAAAAATGCAGCTTCAGTGTGGTTACTAGCTTGGAGACCATCGCTACTTAGGTTGGAGGCCATTGCTATTAAGTTGGAGGCCATTGCCATTACTAGTGAAACAAGCTATCAAACCAAATTGCAAATGATCGAACGCCTGTATGCATGGGTGCAGATCCTGTCTTTGGACCATGTTCAAGATTGCTGATAAAAAGACATTGCAGCATGCGCTCTGGAAACGGTCCAAGGTCCATGACAATCATACGAGATGAGTTGGGAGTGGACGCCTGTCAGAAATGGCAATTCGGGAGTTCCTATGTTAGACATTGCACACCGTTTCATGCATCGTATTCAACCCTGAAAGGACATGTCAAAAATTCTACTTCAAATTCATGTTTAAGGGGGAAGCCGCTACATGTTCACTTTTGTGTACACGATGGCCTCCACCCTCCACCTAGTAGCTTCTTGTTTCTAGTAGTAATGGCCTCCAACCTACTTGCGATGGCCTCCACATAATAGCGTCCCTATTAGCGAGTGCTGCATCTGTTTCAACCCTGAAAGAACATCTCCACTTTGGCCTGCGCTCGTGCTGAGTCTGGCGACACCTTGAGCTTGTTTCTCCAGTGCCAATGCAAAAGTTGCTGTAAGCATCGTAGAGGAGCCAAAAAATAGAATTGCTTGCGAGTGTGGTCACCAAAAAGTTTCAAACA